TCACCGAACATAAGGCTTGGCAAGCAGGGAGCATCCCTATTCCCAAAGGGCTTGAGAAGAAAGTCATTGGACTCCTGAGGGAACGCATGAAGAGAGGGATCTTGGAGGAATCTCACGCCTCCTACCGCAACCCATGGTTTCTTATCACGAAAAAGGATGGTGGGCTTCGTTTGATCAATTCCGCCACAAGGATCAACTTTGTCACAATTCGTGATAGCCTTATCCCTATAGGTGCCGACGAATTCTCTGCTGATTTCGGGATGTGCAAGATGATTTCGGTACTCGACTTCTTTTCCGGGTACGACCAAGTCCCGCTGGATAAGATGAGTAGAGACCTGACGACATTTAATACTCCCATTGGATTACTAAGGATGTATACTCTTCCTCAGGGGGCTACAAATTCTGTGGCACAGTTTATCAGGGTTATTACGCGAATTTTATTCGACCTTATACCTGACATCTGCCGCCCATTCTTGGATGATATCGCCGTCAAAGGGCCTTTGACTACATACGATAATGAGGAAGCCCTTCCAGGCGTTAGGAGATTCGTTCTTGAACATCTGATGAACATTAACAAGGTGCTTGTTAATGTTGAGTTGGCTGGCTGCACCATTTCTGCAGCTAAATCTCAATTTTGCCAGCAGACGGCTAAGATTGTGGGCTATCTGTGTGGCACATATGGTCGACAACCTATAGACGAGCTGATTATCAAGATCAATGAGTGGGACTCTTGCAACGATATACCCGACGTCAGGGCTTTTCTCGGTCTAGTTGGGTACTATCGAAGATGGGTCTTGCACTTTGCATAGATCGCCAAGCCTTTGATCAAACTCTTAAAAAAGGGAGCCGAATGGGAATGGGGTCCCAGCCAAATCGCTGCTATGTCTGAGTTGAAGGCTCGGGTCACCTCGAAGCCGATCCTTGTGACGCTGGACTGTTCAGAGGACGCGGGGGAAATCATCCTGATGGTCGATGCAAGCGGGACGGGATGGGGATGTGTCTTAATGCAAGTCATTGACGGGAGAAGGCACCCTATCCGCTTCGAATCCGGTATCTGGACCAAAGCTGAATCCAATTATGACCCCACGAAGAGAGAGTGTCGAGCTGTTTTGTGTTCCTTCCGAAGGGTTCGCGGCATGATCTACAGTACTCAATTCACCCTTAAAACTGATGCTCAAGTCCTTGTTCACCAGATCAATAGAAGAGCTGATGACGTTCCCGGTGCGTTGATCAATCGTTGGTTGAGCTACCTCATGCTCTTCGACTTCACGGTCAAACATATACCCGGAAAGAAGAATAGTATCGCTAACGGGCTTTTACATAAGCCTAGCGGGCTATCTGATTAAATGGATGTACAAGTTGAAGGAGACCTGGAGGAGTTTGTGGACCTCCACTTAAACCCTGTCAAAGTGAGAGGGCTCGAGATGCCAATTGAACCCATTCTGGATGAGCAATATTCGAGAGAATACCAATTGATGGCTTACTATCTAACCAAGCTTCAGAGGCCTGAGGGTCTACTAAGTCGGCAATTCAGGAACCTTCGAAGGAAGAGCCTGACGTTCTTTGTCAAGGACCGAAAGCTTTGGAAGAGAAATACAGATTACAGTCAAGATCCATCGTTAGTAGTGGACGACAATGCAACCAAGAAAGCTATTATTGCCGGCGTCCACCAGTAAGGCGGTTACAAGGGCAGGGAGGTTACCTACAACCTCGTCAGCAAGAGGTATTACTGGCTAGGTATGTGGAGCCAAGTCAAAAACGCAGTGGCGTGCTGCCCGGTCTGCCAGAAACACACCCCTTGGAGACCATTGGAGACTGCCATTCCGACCACCCCCAGGTACCCTATAATAAAGGTACACATTGATGCCCAGCATCTACCGCTTGATCGAAGGATGAAGTATCTCTTTGAAGGGAGGTGCGACCTCACAGGATGGGTAGAGGCTAAACCCTCGGCATCCCTCACAGCACCCCCGATGAGGATCTTTGTGCAGTCCATATCCTATCGCTTTGGGATGCTCGTCATCGCTGTCTTTGACAACGGCAAGGAAAATCTTGATGGACTAGCAGACCTCCTCAAGGAAGTCGGGACTTACACGATCTTCATTTCACCCTACAATTCGAAGGCAAACGGCATCATTGAGAACGGTCACTCCTCCATCACAGGAGCCCTGAAAAAGACAGAGCTAGGATCCAAGAGCAGATGGCTGCCCAATTTGGAGAGAGCGTTGCTAGCCGATCGATCAGCTGTTAGGGCGTCACACGGTTACTCTCCCTTCTACTTGCTCTATGGATGGGAACCTATCCTTCCGTTGGAAGTGGATATTCCCACATGGCGCATTATCGATTGGAAGAAGATCTCCACCACAGAAGGTCTTCTTGATGCCAGGATCAGGGTCCTTCAAAGACGAAAAGAGGATGTCGAGACAGCCATAACTAAAGTAGCTGCGTTCCGCAATCAGCTTGCTACCAAGAGAAATGAGCAGAATCTCTTCCGTCTTCGAAGGAAGCAACTCAAGCCAGGAGATTTAGTCTTGAAGTTTGACTACACTAGAATGCGTGATTTGACAACCAAGGCCAAGATGAGGCCGAGATGGTTAGGTCCCTATTGCATTTCGAAGCAGTCGCCAGTCTCTCGTGCCTACAGGCTCGAGACTCTTGACGGGATTGTCTTTGACAGACCCATGCATGGAGACTACCTGAAGAAGTTCGTGGAAGACAGCCAAGGGTGGTGGTTTTGCTCCACGGATCTCGCCAAGGAGGAAGAAGAAGATAGGGAACCGTCTAATCAAACGGATTCTGATGACGGGGACTCAAATGATTTATGGCATCCGAGTTCAGACTCGGAAAATGAGGATACACCCACAGAGACCACCAGGGAGGCGCCAGCTTAAAACCAAACCCAGCGCCTCGAAGTCTAGCTACTATATATTCCGAAGGATTCTAGAGCCCAGTACAGGGGCTCTGAAGACTAGAATATAGCAATTGTACTAGTATACCACTTGGGGTTTTGGTGTGCTAGTAAGGGAGGAAGGGGCTATAGTTGACCTACAAAACCTACCACCTGCTTAAAAACCGCCTAAAATTTTTGCAATAACCCCATAAAAATGAACAGAAAATGTATAAAAATATGCCGAAAACCATGGAGAAAGCTCATCTTAAGGAGCCTTATTGGTCTTAGGGTGGGACTGAGGTAGCTAGAAGTTGTGTAAAATATGCATAAACTGGCTCTAAAATCCCACTTTCTAAGGCTTGCTGGCGCTTTAATGGAAAAGCTATGATATTTGGAGTTTGGGACGTAAGAGTTGCTTTGTAATATACTGAAAACCAGAAGAAAAAGCCACTTTGGAAGTATCCCCACGAGCGCTCTGAATTGACAGCTACAAAATCAGACCAGTCACTACCGCGCCACGAAATATAAGCACAGCATACGTTGAATGAGGATTTGATCAAATAATCGCAGCACTATCATTAAGAAAGGACTACCAACTTGGAGTACGACAGCTCCTACAAAGACTCCAGGCCCACTAAACCCCCCTGATACCCCTTGACTTCGTCCTGACGAGAAATATCCAATGCAACTTTAACATCCCGACGTTCCCTTCGGCGATCACCTCCAACTAACGGCCAGCTTCAAGTGATCCGAGGGCAAGTCTGATGGTTAAGGAGGTCTGGATTCTGAATAGGCACGGGATCTATAAATTCAGTCCTAGTACCAAGAAGAGTGTACTTAATGGGGTTCTTTTGCGAGCCAGTGGACTGGTACTGCGGCAGCAACTCCCACTTATACCCTGAGTAGTTATTCCAGATGCAGTTGGAATATTTGCCACTTATAAAGCCGCGGTCAGAGCAATAATTCGCAAATGGAGTCAGAATGTGCTCTTTATTTGAGGTAACCGTGCCCTTCCAAGATCTGATACAACCGCGACAATAGATAGGGTTGGTACAGCCCATGAAGGCAATCAAAAGGGCCTTCAAGTGCCCGGGACGGCGAGGAAGTTGATGGAAGAAGTACCCCAAGGGGTGCGCGAACTCCGCCGCAATGTACACAGGACGGATGCCATTTGCTTCGAGTCGTCTGATTCCGTCCTGGAAGACGCTGTCGTCCAGCCCAACGCCGTTGAAAAAGGCGAGAGCGGTCACCTTCAAGCTTCTGGAGGGAGTTTCCTGGAACGCGAGTTCCACGTACATCGGGCAGCCGAGTCGGTCAAGAGCGAGTCGCGAACAGATCCAGACGTCGAAAGAGGATTTCATCTGCAAAGATCGTTAGATCAAACGGTCTGGGTAGTCACAGGTCACAAAGGACAAAGGGAAGGGACGGTACAAGTTCAAAAAGGCGACCCTTCTTCTCGGCCTCGAAGTTAAAGACCGCTCCACGGCGAGCCCAGTCCAGGGCCTGTCCCTTTGGGATGTCACTCTCGCGAAGGCCAATCTGGGTGACGGTCCGAAGATCAGGGAGATCCTTACGAGGGATCTTGGCGAGACGAAGTAGATCTTCCATGGTGGTGAATACCAGGGAGGTAAGAAGAAGAGGAGAAATAGCAGCGGGCCAGGGAAAAGTGATGATGAAGAGGGGAAGATTGATTGACCTACTGGAAGATTCCAGCGGGTAAATGAAAGGCACAGTCATCATGTTTGCCTGAGGGTTCCGGCCTAAGGGTTTGAATCACTGCCAGAGCAAAGAGCAAACTCGCACACAGCCGAACAAGCTTCCTTTGCAACACACAAACACCACACACAGTCACGCAGAACAGTCATTAAGCTGCTGTAACTCTTCTTTTCTCTACTTCAAAAGGCCTTTGGTCCCCTAATCCGACAACATCTCATTCTGCAGTCCCTGATCACGGACATCCGCTTTCACCTCTGCCAAGACCGTGGCTTCAGCCAATTCTCTCGGTACCGTTTAATCAAACCGTTCCCAACATACGCTGACACCCTTCTTGCCTTTGTGCCGCAGTTTTGTCACCATGTCTCGCTCCCCAGAGAAGAAGAAGAAGGTTCCCGGCCCATCACCTTACACCGCCGATTTGACCGGAGGCCTTCCCAACGATGCCTCGCGTTTTCTTGTCTTTCGAGAAGATATGGACTACCTCGAAGGAGTGATACCAGGTGATGCTGGATTTGGCTCCTTCATTCACCCATCGGAATCACACGCGCTGAAGCCTCTCCAAGACTTACTGGTCTTCCAACCTGCCCAACTACACTGCCGCGGAAATTGGGAACACTGGGATCCCAACAACCCTATTCGACTGGGACTGTCTGATCGAACGGCTACAAGCGCTGCTGAGTATGCGGCGAATCCTGATTCCACTCCGTTGCATGTATCTCTTGCCAATGTCCAGCCTCGCAAGGCATTCCGAACCAGCCCCAACAACCACATAGGCATGCGATCCTGGAAGCAGCATTGCGATGACCTGTGGGACCTTCACCGCACCATGCGATCCAAAGGTTGGGCTTCGAACTACCACCTTCCGCCTTTCCTCCAGTTGGATACCTACGGTATGCGCGATGTTGTTGCTGTGGCCCTGGAGCCCCTCATGATCCTAGGCAACCCCTACAGAAACAAGAAGCATCAGTTCAAAGGTTCTACCCCCTTCCTTCACACTTCAGCTGAGCGCGTTCCCTGCGAAAATCTCACCTTTGGCTTTCCCTCGGCTGTGGAGTGGAAAAAGGCTATGTTCAACAAACGGCTTTTTGTCGGGCTCTTCCACTTTGAAGGTCACTGGACTTCCTTTATCTTTGACCGGGCCGAAAACCAGCTTTGCCAGTACGACACTCTCCAACCCAATCGCCAGAAGCGTTTTCATGCTGCCGGATTGGCCTTCCGCGAGGCCCTTTCAAGTGCTGGGCTTCCGTATACCGTCAGCACGTTCGGGTTGCCTGTGACCGCACAGCCTGAGGAATGGGAATGCGGCTATCTCTCGATGTACGTCATGCTCCACAATCTAAGGAGTATGGTTGGTTTGAGTGGAGAGGATCTCCGTGGCATGAGACAACCCACTGCTGTCAAGTTCGACCAGACCTGCACCAAGTCACCCAAGCCCTTCGCCCTACGACACCGAGACTGGACCCTGACCCCGTGGGAAACTTCGCAACCGTTTGATCTATCGCATATCAAGGACTACATCAGCATTGCCATCCTGGATGAGCTCGGGATTCGAGATTTGACCTTCATGGAAGGTGGCGCGGAAGTCAACATGGGTACTAATGATCGCCGGATCATTCGACAAGGGGCAGCTGGACCGTTATTCAGCCCGTCTCACCTCTACACGGACCTTGGCGGCTTGCAGTTCATCTGCTGGAGGAATCGGCCATACTCCCACGGCTACTTCGAGCATCGTGTTGTGATGCCTATCTCTAGGGCACACATCTACTACCGACGCGACAACGGAGACGTCCCTCAACAGCCAGCACTGTTTGTGACCCTTCCCGACGATTTGATTACACGATACGAATCCCTTGACTGCACTGTGACCGATAAAGCGACGCCTTCCCAGAAGACACCAAGGGCCTCTGCCAGTGTTTCAACCAGCCCTCTTTCCGTTAAAGACCAGACTCCGAAGGCAAGGTCGCGCACTGGGAACAAGTCAGATGCTGAGAAGGTGGCCTTGATGAAGAAGAAATTAGAAAACCTGCCTGCTATTCCAAGGCACTTGCAAAGTCTTGCGCAACGAGACAGCCTGGTCCAACTGATGAAGGATATATCTATTTCCGACCTTGTGCGACTCAGTGAGCAAGTGGGAGTCACACTGTCCCCGGAAGCACGCGAACAGGATACTCATCGCCCCGGCTTCGAGGACTGGTTGGTAACCGAAACCCCTCAAGAGACTACGCCACGAGCTGGTCTTCGCCGGTCAGCCCGACTCAACCCAGACCTCCGAGCTGAGACATCTTCGCCATTGTCAAGCCTAGGTTCCTGTCTGCCTACCCCGTACGACATGATGGACATTGACAGTTTGCCATTGATGGGAATCGCTGGAATGCCGTTGATTCCGGGAGCCAGGCTTCTCCCTATCGAAGGTGACAGAGTGTCCTCTTCCCGTGAATCGTTTGATCAAGTGCCTTTGTCTGCAGGCGCTCAAAGAATGACTCGAGAAGCTCGAGATCGACTTGGTCTGAGACCCATCCAGGATCGAGCGACGCAGTACCTCCCGACCACTGGCACTTGGGCTTCATACGTGCCCCAAGGTATGGTAGCCGAGTCCCAATGGGCGGACATGATCCGCGAAGTTAGTTGGAGCCTGAGGAGGGATCAGATTGAGCAAGGATTGACGAGAGCTCAACGAGCTGAGGCACGCAACAAGCGCCGAGAATAAGGTGATGACGGTGACGAGCAATATGGTCTTGAAGATTTTCATTGAGCTTTCGAGCAATGTACAAAGGGAAGCGATTGATCAGATGGTTTGATAGGTTTCCATGAAGGATCCTGGTCACAGATGTTTTCCAGTTGCCCTGCTCCAGGGAGGCTGACCTGTTATTTGGACTGAGGATTGTTTAAGGTTAAGCAGTTGGGGTTTGACTTGGTCTTTTACTTCTGATTAGCTACGAGGACCAGATTGGTATTGCTTCTCTCTTTTCCTTCTTTGTTTTCAGGCTGGGGTTTGTTTCTTTCTTTCTTTGCTAGCTGACAGGAAAATCCCTTCTCTCTCTCTCTTTTGAGTGTGCCTTTCTAATCGTCCCTAGTGGGGTGATTGCCTCGCCCCTCCATGGGGTCTCAAGTGGTTTACGCGGTCCCTAATGCGCTTGAGGGCAAGCGGGTACCGCGTAGGGAGGTGTTGAGTCGGGGCTTTCCGGTCTTTGGGGATAAAGGTCATCTGATCGGATGCTTGCAGCCGCTAGGGCTAGGATTGGTGGGTTCCTTCAACAGGAAGTGCCGCATCGGGTAGGACCGGTAGCCAGACCTACTGGGGCCATAAATTGGGAAGGTCTCGGACAGGACCTTCTGGAGCCAGACACAAGTATCATCCTTCTAGCATCTCATCATTTTTTTTTTCAATTGACAGTCTTTTGACCTATTCTTTGGTGACCTATCGAATGTCCATTTGATCAAACGGTATCAGCTGAAAAAGCTATCTATTTTGCCCGGCTGTCCGATTTACCCGGACCCCAAACCTGACCCCATCCGACCTTTCCGACACAACACTATCGCGGTTATCACAGCTCTGCCTCCGGGTGGGTTGTGTGTTCTTAGTGTCCTCTGCTCTCTCCCTCACTCAGTAATAATAATATAAAGTAGTAATAAGTTTATAATATTTATATTAATAGTTACAGGCTAAATTCTTATTTAATAGCTTTAAGTAGTATATAGAATATAGAGATCTATCTTTAAAATAATATTACAGCCCAGGTTAAGACTAGGCAGTCTTAAGTAGCAGAACTATAACGCCCCACTTTCACTCTTCCCCAATCAACAAAAGATTACTTAGATTACTCCCGTAATCTAGCAATCCCTGATATAAGGACTAATTAAGTAAAGAATCACTTAGATTACTACTGTGATCCTCACAATCCAGGGCGATAGCTTACTAAGATCACTACCGCGATCCCCGTGATCTACTATAGTATATATATACATTCATTTAGCACTTTCATAAATAGATAGCCTTACTAGCTATTAATACACTTAGTTATATTGAATCTACTATTCTACCATTACCAGACCGTGACCTATATTGCTTACTATGACGTCCTGATCTACTCGATTATATACTACACGCCTCGGACCTACCCTATATCCTTAGGTTAGACCTGACTGTTATACACCCGACGACTTATAATTTAAAAATATAAAAAAATATTTCTTTATATATACTTTATTTAAGTATATATCTTAATAGTCTTCTAGAGTATAAACCTTTTTACTTTATTACTTCTTAATAACTAAGCTCTTCTATTCTGCAGCTACTTATATTTTAATTTCCCCTGGTCTATTTAATATATCTAATTATTCACTGATATACTTGCGTTTATTTTTAATACCTATAGAAGCTAAATAACACGATCTATAAACATAAGATATTACGAGCGTCAATCTGGGATATTTATTAGACAAGAAATATTGCAAAATATAAAGGAAATAAAGAGGCGTTATTCTAAGGCTAGGGTTAGACGTGTCCGGATTAATACTTATTGCAGTATCTGGAGTATGCCTTATCTTATCTTATCTTATCGGATGAACAGGGGTACCGTGCTGTTAACAGGGATTGCGTTCCATTTAAAACTGATGCATACTAGTTTCTGGAAATCGACAAGGGTACTGTTCGTCCCAGACGTGATCTCATTAGCTGAGTCTGCCCGAACACAAGCGAAATCCGACACCCTAAACCCATCATTGATCCTGTAGACCACACTGATCTATGCAGCGTTTGTTCGATGCGGGGCCACCGTTATTTGCGTCTAACCCAGAGGCTATCGCGTTTGAGCGGGTTGGTGCTGGGGGAGGCGTGGTTGTGTTAAGGAGATAGGGGTAATCGCGGTATGAGCACTAACAAAACATTCCAGGGCAAAACAAAGGGAAAGAGAGAAGTTACCCTACTGTAGGCAGTATGTATCGTAACTCGTTACATTAAAACTTTTCTGGCCCGTGCACGCTCCGCATCTTTTCCACAACTCATTTAATTACCACTTTTCCGTCTGTGCACGCGTCGAGTCTTTTCCATAACTCATCTAATTACCCCTTTTCCATCCGTGCATGAGCCGTCCGTGGTCTGTGATGGCAATCAGGTCGGCATGCTGCCATATTCTCTTATTCTTTGCATCGTTGATATTGTTGCTATCAGAGTGCATGAGAACAACCGAACTATCGAGTGAGACCGACGTGCCATCAAGTGTCAGACAGCCTGATAGGGACTGTTAAAACCTAGTCTGTTGCCAAAGTGACGATCTTACGATATCTGGGCTGATACTAGGAACCTGGTCTGATCTAGGTCTGACCTCGGGGACGGGGGGGCCCCGGGGGCCCACGGAGGCTGCCGGGGGCCGCCGGAGGCTGCCGGAGGCAGACTTCATCATCGTCTATAAGACCGATCCTAGCCCTTCAATAGATAGAAAAATCAAGCAATTCCATCGTCATCCAAGCTGTCTTACCCAATCCATCCTTCGTCTGATATCAAGGATGCATGCAAACCATTCTGCGTCAGGGGAGAAGCAAAATGCGGTGACGGGCTTGTTCCAGCCAAAGAAATGGGCAACTCAGGGGTATATCTCTGTTTCGGAGCCATCAAATCGGGGGAGAGGAGCTTGTTGAAGGGCTAATTTGGGAGTGGGTTTGCGGCCAGCCTGCGCATGACCAATAAGTCGTAGCGCAATGGCAAACGCAGCTGGGGTCAGGAAACCTCTATTTTCCTTATCCGCAATCTGCCAGATCTATCACGAGATAGAATATTTAGCTGGACGATAAGGAAAAGCGAGATAAAAATTGCAAACATACCTCGCCAAGTATGTAAGGGCGTAGGCGGGTATTCTGGAAGAACCTAACAGCGGTCTCGCCGACGATGACGCCGACGGCCTCCGAATCGGCTTGCCGGAAGAGTTGGCCATATACTCGCTTCTCTTCGGTAGAGAGGTTGAAGGTCAGCGCAGCTATCGCAACTAGACTCAGCTCTGGATAGATGAAGGTGCTACCATGACGGAGGGCGTACCAGGAGGATCGGTCGCTATTGTCGCATCCTCGCTCGCGGCATCGACCCACCACTGGTCGTTTTTGTCGCTGCTTGTAGCACGATCATGGCGATTGTTTTCATCATAATGCCATACAGAGTTGCCCCAGGTTTTATCAACCTTCTCGCCCTGGCTGTCGGTGTTGATGTCGACATCGTCATCGAAAGTGTCATTAGCAACTGGAATACCGTCACTGTTGGTGTCTTTCGCAACGAAGTCAAATCTACCTGCCACGAGATCTCCATCCTTGTTAGAAGAGTCACTGATCATGTCACTGATGCCGTCGTTTTTACTATCGATTGAAGTCTCGGCTGCTGTTCCATGTTCGTGAGTGTTGGGAGTGGCTGGATCGTTGTACATGGTTGTCCATCGTCCAGAAGCTTCTTCGTCGCTAACATTCATCTCTTCAAATTTCTTGACAGGTACGATATCGGGAGCTGAAAACCCGCTGGAGTCCTGTGGGGGTAAGGGGGATGCCCGAATCTGTGTAACGAGCTCAGGATCAGACGATGCAGGCCCTCCGTGGTCTCGAGATATTAAGGGCAATGCAATGGTGTTCCTTGGGGGCGGAGACCGCGAGGCTGGGCCGGGCGACGATGCATTTATCCAACCGCTTTCCAGAGCTTGCGCCGCGGTGGGCCGCAGTCGTGGAGAAGTACTCAACACAGAGTTGATGAAGCTTGTGCACTCAGGGCTCAGTAAAGCATCCACTGGAAAAGGGTCGCCGTAGAAAACGTATCCGGTTAGGTTGGCTGGCTCAGGGAATGGTAGTCGTCCGACAGCAATGCGGTACGCCACGATACCGATGGCCCAGATGTCGACAGCGAGGGAATAAGTCGGCGCCGATGATATTTTGCGATCACCGGGTGGGAATATTCCTAGAACCTCGGGTGCGAGATATGCTTGTGTGCCTGTCTGTGTGCGTAGAGCTGTTGCCTCGATCTGCTTGCTCGTACCAAAGTCGGCAATCTTGACCCACCAGTTGGGCCCAGTATGTTGTATGAGGATGTTCTAGCTCTTATCAGATGGCGATGTGACCATGGACATGGGTGGGACAACCTACACTGGGCTTTATATCGCGATGGGCAAAGCCACTTTGGTGCATAAAAGCAATCCCCTGTAGAATCTGGAGTGTGATTCTTTTGGCCTCCGCCTCTTTAAGGCGGCGCCTACTGATGTAGGACTGCAAATCGCCCAAGGGGAGGTACTCCATAGTGATATAGATAGCGTCCGGGGTGTCATACCACCCGAAGGAGCGAACAAAACAATCTCGATACTGGAGGTTTTGTCTCGTAAGCCATCAGGCAGTAACGCGCAAATGAGAGCAACGTACCCGCTGGTGGGAAAACTTCATGATAGCCAAGAGTTCCCGAGACAAAAACAAAGGGTCGTACGCAGTTGAGCCACACCTTGTCCGAATCTCCTTGACGGCTCGGGCCTTGCCTGCGCGGGGGCCTGCTATGCACTGCTCAAGCCAGACATATCCAAAAGAGCCGTTGCCTAATAGCTCGGTGCGCTTCCAGGTCTCTTGGACGCGTGTCCGCCACAGCCCGGTCATTGGGTTCGAGACATACTTGGTCTCCTGGGTGCAGCTATCGCTGACGATGGTGCTGTCGAGCCTCCAGTCGAGGACCAGATCAGAGACGGCGTCGTCCATTCTGCGCTAGAAGCGGCGAAACTGGCCGGTGATGCGAGAGGTGGAAGAAAATAGAGGCTGGCAACGAAGCGCGAGATTTCTGGCACATGACCCCGCGGGCTCGATTGGGGACGCTAGTGGAGGGAGGAGGCCGAAGCCACCAATCATGGAGGAATTCAGGCTGGGAATTGTGCAAGTCCAGTTGTAGGTGGCTGATCTCACAAAGGGTTACCCGTTGGCGAAGGCCCCACCAGCTAACTTTCGGGGCAGGCTCCGCGCCCCTCAGTTGGGCACAAAAGTTTGATACAGCCGCAAAAGTCCGATAACTAATAGATCTAAAGTTATATTATAAAAATTATTAAAATGGCGATGTAACAGAATAATACCCTTGGGCCTTATATGAGATTTGCTATAGAGATCCACCGAACGCCTCTTTTATATCACTACCTACTTCAACCGCCACCAGCGCCATGTCACTCCTAGCGCAAATTACGCAGCACTCAATACCTGCTGACCCTTGACAGGGGCATCCTCTTTCTTGCAATGAGTCTGAAGGCATCGTAGCTAGGCGCAGGCCGAAAAGTAACTCAAGTAGCTCCTCGATCGTCCCTTCGGTGGAGTCATCCTGGGCTCCGTCAGGAGGGGCCTTATCGTCGCCCGTTTCACTTGCATTGTCCATCCCCACGATGAACTCTTCCCTATTTTTTTCTTTCTTATTATTGCTATCCTCTTCGTCGTTAACCTCATCCTCTTCTTCGTCGTAATCCTCTTCTGCGTCTTCTTCAGAACCATTCCCACCGTGTCCTATAAAACTGTCGCTGGCCTTGACGTGTCTAGGATAATGTGGATGCATGCTGAGAACCTTCGAACCAATATCATCCCACGATTTGTGGCCCCATATTGCATCTAAGAAACGCACTTGCTTCCTATTTAATGTCATGCCTGTAGTCCGCGCCCGAACGTCCGGAGATATCTGATAAACTTGAAAAACTATGGCAAGATATCTCTTGAGTAGTAATCGATATTTCTTTATCGATAAGAGATAGCGTACTAGCGTAAATGGCTTAGGATATGTCGACAGGTTCCGGGTGCTTCTGAGCTAGCAGAGAATGCTTCGGCCTGTCTTCCGTATCGTCTCTTCATACCTGTCTAATATCGCGTCGATAAGATTCGCCAGTATAGTAATCTTCTTCTTATCTTCGCCTGGACTTACGAGATCTTTGTTGAGCTTATATACTTTGCGTTATTCTAAGAGATATAATTGCTTATAATAGATACTGTGTGTTACTGTAAGAGCTGCGAGAACTTGGCGACGGCCCTTGTTGCTATATGTTTAATCCCAGCCGGTTCTTTCTATCTAAGGCCGCTGCTCGGCAAATATTAATTCCGTGAGATGTACCCCAGTCTGTAAGGCTGGTAGCTTTTTATCTTGGCCGAGTCTCTGCTCCTGCTTACGTACGGATTGCAGGTGGTCTTGGATTTCTCGGCTCTTAACCGGTCGGACTATGGTCCCATTACGCTTGATGATCCAATATCTCCGACTAGGTCCAGTTGTCCACGTCTGCAGAAAAACATACTCAAATTGTTTATCGATGTCGCAGCGGCGATGAAGAACGCCTAAGTTAGGGCAGCGGTCGTTTGAGAGACAGTAGAAGTGCGGCCTCATCGATTGAAGGCTAATTGTTCGAAACTGACAGTGGGAATAGGCAAATCCCTTGTAGACGTGCAGTAGACTGTGCTTGGAAGATCCGTCTGCATGGGGAGCTGCCTGTTCGGGGTCTCGAAGACCAGGCGGTGGAAGTAACTTGAGAAATCGACTTAACCCTTTTCTTGTTTCGGGAGGGACGTTATGTTTGTCTCGAAAGTGCGTCGTTACATGCGAAGCCCCGATAGAGAGTGCATATCCGCATTTATCCTGAAAACAGATCAGAACGTGTTCTTCGGGGTCGTGGAAAAGACTGAGCTTATTTAAATACTCTGGATTTGGCATTTCTTGAAAATTTCCAGTTTTAAATGTGATTTTGTCTGGTTGCTTTAAGTTCAGGAAGAAGAATCATAACTATAACTATTCGAAGAAATGAGTATTCTGGGCTGTTAGTTTTTTTTTCTTAAAATAGTCGTACTTAGCCTCGATAACCTGGTGAGGCTGATTTCCTCTAACCAGGATTACAGTCGCCCCTTAAATAAGAGTTATAAAAGCAAGTTGTAGATAATTGATATAACTCCTACTCCTAGCTAATTACAAGTTAACGGTAGCTTATAGACTCTTACTTCTTTTGTATTTTAGAAAGATAGATAATATAAGAATAAATAAGATATAAGATGCTATAATTAAGTAAATTAACTACTAAAGTTAAGCAGTAGATAGATAGTAAAGTAAAGTATTAAGAGGATATAACAGAATTACTTAAGGCTAGTTAGAGACGACCTTGCTAATATATATAAATAGAGATTATATAGGCAAATAAATAATACAGGCTGAAGATACTTATTTATATATAAGAACGAAAAATATATAATTAAATATATTTTTACAGACCTGACTATATATTGTAACAGGCAGTTAGGGATACTTAGGCTAGCTGGTCGCTAGTGGGGATATCTCTAGGGTAACCCGGATAGAGTTAAAAGGGGAGGTCAGTACCGTCACTAGGGGAAATCATCGTTTTTCCTTTTATCAGAGATTCTTCCTAGAAGTTAGAGAGGCCAGAAGGGCTCGAGGCTGCTAGGGAGTCTATTAATTAATTACTTTTATTTTTAAGAGATTTATTTAAATATTCTTGCTGTTATTATATTCCTTGTCTAACTTCTGTCTTTAATATCCCTTAGATATCGGGCTGCTGCAGGCCCTATTAATACCTTGCCAGCGAACTTTTCTACGACTGACCTGATATTCTATCTTATAAGATACTTCTCTATCAGGAGATATAAGCTTTAAGTTAATCCGATCTTATATATATAATTTAATGTAGCTTTAGGCTGACTGGCTAAGATATCTATATAATAACTCTCTATATATTTTCTTTAGGGTAAGTTAATAAGTTGGGTATTATTTTCTATCTCTTTTTACTGCTAAATTAGAGGTTATAGTAGAGTAGTAAATTAATTAATTTTACTTATTAGAGGGATTAATTAATATATTTTTATACTATAAGCTATTAGATTTAAAAAAGTAAGAAAAAAAGAAAAAAAAGATAGAGGGATTAAAATCTTCTTAAGTTTTTTATAAGTTAAAAAAGCTTAGAAAATTAATTAATTAGTAAGAAGTTAGATATTTTATTTAAGATACCTCTATAAAAGGAATATCTATAATAATCAGACTTTAGGCTATATTAATTATACTATACTAACTTTTAGCTTTAAAGGCTAGATTAAAAAAAAAAGTATAATTAGCTTAGAAAAGTATCTTATAGAATAATATCCTAGATAATTATATTTATAGAAGGTTTATTTAAATTTAAACTTTAATTTTATTTAGTAAGCTATTAGCTAATAAAAATATATAGAGGTTAGTTAGATAGAAAGATATTACTATAATAATTATAACTTAGTATCTTATAAAAAATAAAATCTAGCTATACTAGCTTTATATTTATTTATAGTATAGAATTTTAAAGTTTAGAGGGAAAGTATAAGAAGAGGAGTTTTAACTCTAGAAATAAAAATAGAGGAAAAAAAAAAGAATTAGAATACTAGAAAAGATTTTATTATAATAATTACCTATAAAAAGAGATTTACCAGAAAGTATAGAAAAATACTAAGTAAAGATCTTAATTATTAGTAGTAATTTCCTCTATTACTTTTAGTTAATTTTAAGAGATTTTTATAATATTATAACTTATATCTACTTAAGATAGATATTTAATTCTTCTTTAACTTTTTTTATTTTTTATTTATAAATTCTTTCTAGCTATATATTTCTCTATATAGAAGGGATACTATTACAATTAGATATTTATTTTAGTATAGTTAGCTAAGGCTATATTATAAGAAAAGAATTATTCTCTAAGAGACTAAGATTTCTCTAACTATACTTATAATTCTAATATTACTACTAAAATAAAAGAAGAAAGAAAAAGAGGAAAGTATTAAATAAGATACTTAAAAATACAACTAGCTACCTTCTAATTTAATATATTAAACTAGCTTAGTTATAGCTTATTACTCTTCTAATTAGTATAGAGTTATCTTTATAAGACTGGACCCCTTTAAAGTTAAGTATCTATTTTAAGATAAATTTAAATAATAAGAGCTACTTAGAAGCTAATAGGAATAATAAATTGGAATTTCTTATTCCTATTTATATATTTAAATATAAGTTTAAAGGGACTAATATTACTAGCTTTATATAGTTATTTAAGAACTATATTAAAGGCAGGATTTATACTAATAAGAAAAAGAAGATACTATTAATTTATTTTTTCTATAAAGATATTAGGTTAAAGGTAGAAAAGGCCTGTAAATATAATATTTAGGAGGAAGTTAAGATAAAGCTTCTAAAGAACTTTAAAAGAAAGAATAAGAAATAATAGCTCTAACCTCTTAAAAGAATCCTAAAAATAAACTTTCTATCTATAAAAAAGTAACTAACCTTAAGATACTTAACTAGCTTAAGATTTATTAAGAGCTATATAAGGCTTTTTAAAATAAAAAGAAATTTAAAAAGGTAATTTCTATACTATTTTCTATATTCTTCCCCAGAAGATTATTTTAGATATATAGATAGAAGAATATCTCAGTCTAGAAGCTGCAAGTAAAAACCTATAATAATATAGTTAATTTTATAATATTCTTACTTAAATAGAATTAGAAATTTAAAAACCTAATTAAGAAATCTTAAAAGAGAGAATTATATTAGATAAGAAGCTCTTAAAGAAGAATATAAAATATTCCTTTCTATTACTAAGTTAACTAAAAACTAACTAAGCTATTAACTCCCTTACTAAGATAGTCTAAAAATTAAATATTAATATAGCTTATTAATAGAAAGATATAGAAGCTAGGTTAGTAGCTATAATTTAGAATATTATAAATAAGTAGAGGCTTTTTAATTAATCTTATTATAATTATAACTTAGCTCCTAGAGGACCTTATAGAAATAACTAGAACTTTATTATTAATACTAATTATAGTTAGAGGCAGATTAAATACTTTTACTGCTATATTTCTAGCTATTTCCTAATTAATATTATAAGCTATAGAAAGATAGAAATACTAGCTACTGTAATTTTAACTTAGAAGCTAGTATAGCCTGGATAGGTTAAAGAGAAGTTAATATCCCTTTAAAGCTAGTCTAAAAGATAGAACTTCTTAGTAATATTAAGAAGCTAGTTATTTTATAAATCTAAAAGTTTTTAAAGTCTCTAGCTATTAGTTTCTTAGAAGGTTTGATATTAGG